ATTCATAAGTGTTCCACATTTGTATGGGGTTTTGAGCTGAAGTGGCCATCTTGAAGATCGTTTGGTGCAGTTCACAGTCCTGCCCTTCTCAAGTCCCAAATCCCTCTATTTTCTGAGCTACACGCCCGAGAAGATGTGCAGACCATTTCGGGGAGACTGTTTCCGGTTGAACCAGACATCCATGACGCCATAATGACGTCATTAAAATCCGGTCATGTCATTAGCTATGCCTCCAAACTGAAAAATATGGTTGTCGAGTTCTTTACATCTGGTGTTTGTGAGCACGATTTCGGGATACAGCAGCCCGTCAGTCGGCTCTCAATCACTGCTGTGCAAGGTACGAGGACGCAATCAAACAATGACATATTGATGAGCATATTTACTGCATAGAGGTATTGTGCTGTCTAGAGCAGTCTTTTCCAATTAGAAGTGGCAAAATTTATAGGTGCGCTTATTTCATCACATCTGATGCTTGCTTCAATACGTTCAAATGTGAAACATTCCCTTTAACCCGCTCCAAACGACGGGGTTTTAAACCCCGCTCCCTCTCCCACACTCACCAGGTTTTTCTGGAGCAGCTTGTCAAGCACTGAAAGCATAATAATGAAATTTCATGAATCTCGGTGTTCAAAGTTTTCACCTGCTCTACAACAATAAAAGATCCCACCGCTGCTGAATCTCTACGAGTGATGGCCTCCCTGAAGGTCATAGCATTCGGGTGCAGCGTTCCGGCGCCTGATAAGAGCATTTGCCAAAGCGAAGAAGAAACATCCTAAGGCCCTTTTAATTATAAGCGTGCACGCATTCTACGGTTTATTCTTGTCTTAAAATACGGTATCGCCAAATGTGCCGCATGAAAAGGTTGTTTTAGGGAAATGTTGGCCATTGTGGCACATCGTGGCATAGCATTTGTCACATTAGAGAATATCAGATGTAGCTTTACAAGTGCTATTTAAAGTTGTTTGCGTCGGAACACGTTTGGATGCTTACAAAACGTGATGTGAGTTTATGCACGTAAGATTTTACCCTTTGACTAGGGGTGGTACTTCGCTCAGCTATTAAGGGTCTTCCAACAGCAATTCCTGATCCTTTGAGGCCATCTTCAGCATGCGTTGATCTACGTCTGTTTAAATGTGGAATTACTGCAGCTCCCTGGTCCCAGACAGCATTCAAACACACATACTCCTGCCTATGCCTTGCTATGACCGATCACATGTCACGTTTAGCTTATGCAGTGATCAGTCTATGATGCAGTGGTGTGCCATGACGAACAAAATATCGGTGTATGATGCAGTGGTGTGCCTTGACGCGCACCAAGTATCAGTCTATCATGCAGTGGTGCGCTGTGACGCGTATAGTACCTCTTTCTACCCTGTCATAGCACGCATAGCTTTTTGTATGAGGTTATAAACTGCTTGGCTAATCCCACTAACGTAATATGTATCGATCGAAAGTACCCTACCCTGGTGTACAATGGTTCTAGTCGGATGCACTTCTACGCAAGCTATGCGACGTAGCATTTCGCTTGGCTTTAGAAGGTGAGACGGAGCTGAGAATTCGTGCGTCCTTCGAAAACAACATAACAGATGCGTGGGATATCTGTGGAGAGTCTGATATGCATGTGCCCAGCACAACAAATGAAAGAAATGTGCATTATTTCTGATGTAGAAAATTTAATTGCAGCACTCAGTTTCGGGCCAAAAAGCTGAACCAATGAGTTGTCATAATAAGATGTGTTTCGATAAGGAAACGGAACTAATATCTGTCTTCATGTCGCCGGCCACGGCGTCACAGCGTGTGTAATCCTGCCCTCTAATTATCTCTAGCATTCCAACATCATTCACGAACCCTGGAAGTGGTGCGCGGAATGATTTGCAGCGCGCTCATCCCGCGGTGCGATCATCAACATTCTTTTTCTCGTCGTAAACTGCACTCCACCTCTGTCGGCGACGTTGACACAGATTGCGTTTCTCGACAACGCGGCCGCCAAGATCGACAGAGCCACTACGCCTCGCTTTGTGAGCCCACACCCATCCACGAACGCGAGCACGCCACCGCAGCGCCCTGGCGACGGTGGCACGAGCCGGCCGCCTCCGGTGGCGGTGGCACGAGCCGGCGCCTCCGGTGACAGTGGCATGCCTCCGGTGGCGGTGGCACGAGCCGGGCGCCTCCGGTGACGGTGGCACGCCTCCGGCGGCGGTGGCAGGAGCCGGGCCGGCCGACCGCGCGCCGGCGTCCTATCTGGGCCGCTCCGATCGACGAGACGGTCGGCTCACCCGGGCCGGCTGATCGGCCGTCGGGCCCGTCGAGAGACGGCAGCGGCGAGCAGACGTGGGCGCGGTATCAGTCGGCGGCCGCTGCGGCTGGGCGGCCGCGGCGCCGCAGCCTCGCCGCCGCCCAAGCCGCCAGGATACCGGGACACCGGGATCGTTCCCGTGGCTGTGGCGACGGCTTTGTCTCGGCGTGGGCCCCAGAATGGTGTTTGGCATTGCAAACATGCAGCCAAGCGTGCAGCCTGACGAGGCTGCATGCTGTTAGTTGCAAGCGATGCATGCTCTGGCGTTATCGCTGGCCACAGAAGCGGAGGCACGGGGGTGTGTTTGCCTGATCAATACGCTGCGTCGAAGTCCATGCCATGGTGAGCCCCGCTCCCGGGCTCCGCAAGCAGACGTCCTCTCCCCAGTACGCCGCCTGATCTCTGTCAACCCCCACACGGCCCGACCTTTGCATTCATTAGGCGGATAGCTCACTAGGGCTCTGGCTGGCACGTGGGAGGCACATCGAGAGCGTCAAGCCAGCGATGCGTGGCACGTGACGTGGGCGACGGCACTTGAAGGAGCGACGGGTACGGAGCTGAGACTAAAATTAGCTGGCGCGGGTCATGAAATACACTGCAGGGTGTGAACCAACCGGCCTGTTGCTAATGCCAGAGCGTGATGGCTAATGCAACACCCTGAGGCTTTTAGTTTTAGGATCGGTTACCGACAGGTGCAAAATACGCGGGAGTAGGAACCGGCTGAGAGAGCGGACTGGTTGGCAAAGATCAAAGGAGAAAATCAAACCGCATCCGAATCCGCGCCGCAGCTCTCTGAGGCCGAAAGGTAGACCAACTCTGACCTTGACTACTCTCTCCTGCAGCAGCAGCACCTGCCCCTTCCTCCATGCTATTCCGCCCCTCCAGTCAGGTTTCACGCCCGTCACACCACCAGGGGACCGGCTGCCCTGCGTCGATGTCTGGCCCAGGGCCGGAGGCGGCGGCGGCGGCGGTGCTGTGCGCCTTCACCGTCAGCGCGGCGCGCCAGGCACGGCTCGGCACCTCTATTAGCGGCGCCGGGGAGCGTGGGAGCGGCCCGTATGCCGCCGCCGCCGCCACCGCCGCCGCCGCCCTGGTGTCGGCCGGACGGTAATGGAGACCGCCGGCCGCCGCCGCCCGCCCCGCCATCGACTTGTTGAGGTGACCTGGCTGGGAGGGCGGGAGGAGCGCGGTCTTAGGCGGTACAGGGGGATCATCCCGAACAATACTCCGCCACCAACCTGACGCCACGGAACGGTTAATATATGCATTGGCTTTGAAGCCAGGCGTGCAGGGGCGTTACGGGAGTGAAATGAGCTTCATAATCAGCCTGGGATAGGCATGCATACGTAAAACTATGTCTAAAAATTGTCGGCTCTGAATGCAGCCAGAGAGGAGGACTGCCAGTATGTGTATTCGTATTTGATATTCAATCGTTTCAATGCCGAACTTCCCACATAAACCAAACTGAATGATGGTGAAATGGAACTAAGTACACCAAAGCCCATCACAAGGACACTTTGTAGCTCATCAACGGTTATAAAAGCTGCAGAGAATTACAATATGCTGCACGCAACAGCCTAGGGCATGGGATTATCTTCAGAAGTTCATACTCCTGGTTTTCAATAAAACACTTTGCATGGCAGGCAAAACCACGCTTAGAAAAACCAGGACAGAAATGGAAACAGTCTCACATTTGAGTCTCAGTTTCATCCCAGTCTCACCTGCATTTCAGTCGTACGACAGACCTACATTTATTTTCAAGGACGGTGTTGATTTTGTTCCGTCCAAGTCCAACATGTTCGAGAGATAAGCAAAGGTGTCATCGCCGTTCGCGTTGCCGGACTACTTGACGTTTATTTAAAAAAGGTGCGCAATGTTTGCTGCAACATGTCACGCTGGAATTGCTCCATGATTAACTGGTTATTGCATCCAATGCAATTGACAAGAATAAAAGCTGCTCTAGCAGCTATAAATATCTCCTTAGATATCAAATACTGGCACGTTGGCTGCAGCATCCGAAAGCAGGTTATCATTGCTCACCGGAAGCTATGACAAGTGCCGCCACCAAGAATGCAGCCCCCAAAAGCCGCGGCGTATCCCACAGCACACAGCGGCAAGCGTGCCCAGCTTTGTCGTTTTTCCACACAGCTGCATGTGGGGACTAGCCAACCCAAAGTCAGAAGAAGTGCCAAACCTCAACAAAGCAATGGCCTCCATCAGGCTCGATGGTCATCTGCTATCGCCTCGTGACCAGTGACCGTTGACCGGTGACTGGTGACCGGTGACCAGTGACCAGTGACCAGTGACCAGTGACCAGGGACCAGGGACCAGGGACCAGTGACCGGTGACCGGTGACCAGTGGCCAGTGACCAGCACACCGACCGGCCCAGCTGGCCCGAGTCATAACGACGGTGTCATTTACGCCGACACGTCACCAGCTGTGTCGCCACAACGTCACAAGCAGTGCTATGACAACGTCACCGGTTCTGCTATCGCGATGCTACCAGTTGCGTAAAATCGACGCCATAAACGTCCGCATGACCCAAAGCAACAGGTCATCTATAATTGCAACGTCGTCCGCAAAGTCATCACGACGTCATCAGCTTTGCTATCACAAATTCATCGACTACGCCATCTTAATGCCATCAACTCTGTCATCACAACGACATGACGTCATCAGCTGCGTCATCACGACGCGCCTTACCCGTGGTGTGAGGCGATTGCGTCGATCGGGCGTAGGCCATGAAGGCGCCTATGAAGAAGAGCGAGGAAAGCAGCTCCGCCCTTCCCACCACCCCGGTCACCTGCCGGCGGAGGGGGGCGGCGATCGTGGCACGGTCATTCTGGGCTCCCGGCCGGAAATCGTCGATGATGATGGTCACGGCACACGAGATGGCGGGAGCACGGAGCACGGAGCACGGAGCACGGAGCACGGAGCACGGAGCTCGGATGCTGTTCAGGTTTGAGGGTGTGTAGTGTGGCGGGGTTGCGTGGAAAGGAAAAAGTTGTTTTGTTATGGCGTAGGGAAGCGTGGTCCAAACGGCGCCGACGTTTCACAAAGCACTAGGCATGAATGTTTAAATATGCAATGCAATTGACGTGTAATAGCCATTAGTAGATTACTTGGTCCGATTATGCTTTCGTATTTGGCGTAAAAAATAATTTGATCCATTACGTTCATGGGTTATGCGTGAGTCAAGCGAGTCATAAATCACGGGTGCGGAATTATGGCTGTTTTATGTTGGCATATCAACTCATTTATTGGGGCACTCCGCCAGGAGGAATACATCACCATTCTGCATGTTACCAAAACGCAGCAACATAATGGTACGTGGGAGCTTTGGCTGTGACGCTGCAGGCTGCCGATGAGAAGATGGAAAGAGGGAGAGTGAGGGACGGTCGAGTGTCGTCGTCCGTCCGTCCGTCCGTCCGTCCGTCCGTCCGTCCGTCCGTCCGTTCGGACGGACGGACGTACGGACGAAGTTCAGCGCCATGAGAATACGCCGCTTGGAGTTGAGAACGTATCCGCATCGACCGTCAAGCGCTTTACCAACCAACACATACAAGCCGTGTCCCACCATCGCGCGACGCCTCTGCTATTACCAGTGCCGCCGACAATCCGTGCAAGAACACCCAGCCAAGCGGACAACACGGCTTGATTAGCGCGGCGCATTTGCAACAGGAGCCGTGCGCCGCCGCGCCTCCAGTGCGGGGACGGCCATGGCAAGGCCTACCTGACTCAACACGCGACACAAGCGCGGCGGGGCCGGCCGGCCACGCTGCAGCGCGCCGGCCCACCCAGCCACATTCGACTGACTGCCGCATGGGTCGAGTAAAAGCCGGCGGTAAATTAGCATGAATGATGCACGGCCATCGCCGCCGGAATTTCATCGTCGTAACAGCTGGCGGTCGGCGCCGGGGGTGGACTGGAGGGGGGCAGGCGCGGCGGGGCGGCCCGACCCCTCCGGCGCTGGACGCGGCCCCCACGGGTCGCGGCGGGGGCAGAATCTAATCCCATTAACGTCGCCCATTAATACGCTGTCAGCGGTGCGCCGATCCACCGCCGCTGTCTGGGCCGGCCGCCGAGAGGCGGCGGCCGGCGTGGCGCGCCGCCATTTAATAATTACCTGACGGCCGGCGCCGGCATCCGCAAACGCAACGGGAATTCGGCGGCCATTTTTCTCCACTAGAGCAGCCATTTGACACCTTCCCTGCCAGCAGTGCCCGCTCTTTACGGCAGTCGAATGTCGCAGAGCCTCAGGTCTGGGCAATTCGAAGCTGTGCAACTTTTACAGGTTGGGTAACTTTTCTTGTTTTTTGCCTGATACCAATACATGGGACGATCCCGACCGACCTTGTTTACGTGGCCGGTTTTGTTGTGCCCTCACAAGGTGCTCTGACTTGCGCTCAGTGACTTTTTGTCGTGAATCTGAATTGCGGTTGATCACAGCTAGACTCTTTGTTTTACTTGCCGTCGAAAACGTTAGATGCGTGGACGGTGTTGGTTACTGGGAAGAGTCAAGTTCGGCGCGCTGATTTCAGGACACTCTGTGGGTGCTGTGTTTTTGTCGAGCGTTGATAGGCGACGTTAACCAGGCAAGTGCAGGGAAACTTTCCGTGTTTGCGCCAACCGAGTCGAACGCGGCTATTAACGACTAGGCAAAGAGCCGACCAAGACAAACAAAACTCCAGAAGTTCAAACATCTCAAAACACGTTTGCCGTAAGACCTGAGGCTCGAAGTTGTCCCATTTATAAGGCAGCGAACTTACGGGTAAAACTAAGCATGAAAAGTGGATTGCTGATAATTAAACTAGCCAACACCTACGTCTCAGCAGGCGTCGTACTTAAATGTAGTCACCCTGACTGCGACATCACGCTTGTCCTTTTCTGTCTATAGTAACCAGTTGCTGCGGAATATACATGTCTTCAATATACACACATTGCACCATGAATGTAACACGAAACAAAACGTGTAAACGAAAACATATAGCTCAAATGCATTATTCCATTAAATTATGCACTGGTATGCATGAACAAACTTTGCGGTGTCTAATGCAGTATATCAACGAGTGTTAAAGGTCGTTTCTGAACGCAACAGATATAATCATCCCATTTGTGCTATCGGTACAGGCACAATGCATCCTATTATATTAATAAGCATGGACATATCCTGTTCAGGGACAAAGAAACGGCGCAATGCGCGCGGGACCTGAAAGCTGGAGCACACCAACATGTAAATAGCTCATCGTCCAGTGATTGGTAAGGTCCACTATATAAGCTGTAACGAACCAGTGCACTGGCCTGGGTTCACTGCTCCTGCATACGGTGAGCTACTGAGACCCTGCACACGCTGGCCTCGCCACCAAGGGTTACATGTGTATGATATATCACCCTGCTCTTGAGCCTACGCGTAGCTTTTTACGTTGGCTTGAACGAGTTTAAGCAAAAGGCGACCTTGGGATTCAGGCCCACCCTGGTGGTGGACTAGGTCACCAGCCAGCAGTCGGCCTTTTGAGGAAGTTCAGACTGTAATATACTTTTAAAAAATTACGTGAACAATTCGTGACTTTGGACACATAAAACGAGCCCTCACCATAACGAGCTTGCAGCAAGGGTACCTTTACTTTTCATCAAGGATCTAATATTTGCAAGGACACCTGCAGACCTTTCATTTAATAGCGCGCATTACTTCTAATTCTTAATCCGGACTTACTACACGCAGCTGTTCTGCTTTCTGCTAATACCGGGGTGGCAGACACATTGTGGCATTGAGGACCGCAGGAGCAGCCTGCGCCATGCCGTGAAATCGAGGGGGAAATGGCAAAATGCAGAAGAAAACGTGACAAGCTTGCTACCACTGAGGCCAGTGAACAGATCTTACCGCCTCTGTGTGGACTGGGTGGATGGCGAAGAGGAGTGAGGCCAGAAAGCTGCAAGAGTCCGGGGCGAAGAGAGCGCATAACCTGTAACATACGAGCATGGGTGTTGTGGGGCAAACAATTATATTATTATGACACACACACACACACACACACACACACACACACACACACACACACACACACACACATATATATATATATATATATATATATATATATATATATATATATATATATATATACAACATCATGCTGTGTCCGGAACAGCGTGGATGCTAAGATGCACACAATACGCTAGATGATGCTGAAAGCGACCGCAGAATGAAGCAGAATGATTGCCAAAGTGTTTCACAGGGCTCGTCATGTGATCAAATACATTGTCGCATGATCTCGGGATTTTTTAGCGTTGGATTAAAAGAGGATTTTCCACGACACATGATCAGAGGGAGTTTCAATCCAAAAGCCAGCTGATGTCTGTGGCTTCTGAGAGGGCCGAGCGCACAGCACAGTGGGCTGTTTGCAAGTGTTTTGAGCACATCGTAGTTCACAGAAGCATCTGGGGTAAGGGGCCTATTTGTGGACCCATTGGCAGGTGAATGTAGTTGGAATGGGAGGATTGAGAGCCAATTGTGATCAACAATACCAATAGGGACACTGTCGGAGTTCGCCAAATGATGACAACCGTATTTGGTAAAACCGGTGACAAGCAGGAAATTATGCGCTGTAGCTAGTGAGCGAAAATTCGTAGAGATGAGTACAAAACATGCGACACAGTGGCATTTCAATTTGAGCTCGCTGGACACTGATTTAACGCTGACCGTCAGTAAAAAGCGATGACTCCTACAAGCACGAGCTCTGAGAAGACGTCCCGCAATACCAATTTCGCCTCTAAACTTGTCCATAAGTCGCAGATGACAGTTTTACATCTGTTCACTTGCGTTACACAAATTGCTTTCAGAACCTCTCTAAGTTATTGAGCGTAATGCTCCTACAAACATGTCAACTTGCTCGTGTCGAGCATTCATAGTCCGCGACAGAATAAACTGGGTTAACAAACCGCTTCATCCATTGCTAAAATAGGCGCTCAGTTCTTACTTACGGAGCTCAACTTTCTGCGGTTGCATGCTCATTGTAAAGCCCCACATTCAACAGGCGACAGAGCTGATGCTAAGATCCGCACTGCTGACATGTCCGACGGCTCATTGTTGTATTATATTGTGCACTGCAATGCACACCTAATTCGAGAGACTCAGTAACGCACGTCCGTTTCAGCCAGTTCCAGCTAGATGTTGAGAGCAATGTGGTCGGTTTGGAAAGAGACACTTGATGTCGCTCCGCAGCAAAATGACCCATGGCATGATGGCGTGTGAAAACTATAGTAATTGCTCGTGCTGATAAGTATGTGAACAGCTCAGCATATAGCTACATATGGAGGTGGCTCCTAGCACGTGCGGTTCTCAGACAATGTCAGCAACAGCACGTCTGCATCTTGGCAGTGGTTTGGGGCGATGAGATCAGGCATACCTGAAGTAAAGTATGCAGACCAGACCGTGGAGAATGACGTTGACGAGGTGGTAGCCCATTGGGCTCAGCTGGTGGAAGAAGTAGTTCCATCTGAATGTGAGAACGCAGAACGGCCTGTAGGACTTGTGAGAGTGCTCCTGAAAAGATCGTTGCGTTCAGAGAGCTGGTGGTACCAACATCACGACTTTTCATGAAGCAGCCAACTTTTATGCGTTGTATGGGCAAACAGCAGTGGGAATTACAAACAGCAGATCTTTGTAAACAGTGGTCGATACGGACGTCCCACAAATACTATGCCCAGTGCACAATGTGCGCTCCTATTCACCACAGAGGCCGGCTTACAAAAATGTCCGGTCTGCAGCTGGGGTCCGGTGGGACTAATGCCATTTTATTGAGTTCGTGCCGACAAGAAGGTCCAAATGCCAGCGGGGAGCAGGGCAACATATATGGTCGCCATTGAGTTGCACCTTGGAACGCCCTTTTGTGTCCCGTGCATCGCAATCGCAGTTGCATTTGCGGTGAGCCTCAATGCATGAAGTTAATGGACAACAACTCGCTGCAGCGCAGATGCCACACCGTCCCACAGAAATGACACTGGAAATCATTAGACGACCATACACTCGACGTTCCAGTTGTGCTTCGATGTGGTTTGCACGATATATGTTCGTAGGTAATTTATGTAGATATATGCGATGAAACTATATATATATATATATATATATATATATATATATATATATATATATATAAACCAACCTTGGAACTTCCTTTGTGTTGTCTTTCGTGAAGGTCTACGACATATCAAACATACGTGACTTTAATCCTCTTTAGCGAAGAGCTAAGACAAATATTCAACATTGAAATGAATGTGATGATTCGTTAGGGAGTTTTATGTAACAAGAGACTCTTCCACCTGTCCAAACCCCGTTCTTTCTGACGGACCTCCAATGCGTGCTCCGTCGCGCGCTTTCTCCCGCTCTCCCTGTTCCCGATCTGGAGCCTGACTCTCCAGCCGCAACCGACTGGCTCACTGACTCACTGACTCACTGACTCACGACTGACTCACCGACTCACGACTGACTCACGCGGACGCTCTTCGCCAGACGGTCTCGTATTCCAACCAGGCCGAGGCGTAGCCGCCCGACCACAGCGGGCGTCCCCAGATCCGAACGCGGCACGCTGAGACGCGCTCGTCCCCCGCCCGTTCTCGGCGTCCCCTCGTGTCGAGCCCCGGATCGGTCACAGTTCATGACACGGCTCGTCGGGCGCCATCGAGCCGCCCAACGTGCGCGCGGTCGGTCAGACGGATCGTCGCCGTTGGGCTTGCCCCCAGCCGTCCCCAGCTGTAGGAGGTGAGCCGATGCCCCGGGACAGACATGACCGGACGACGCCAAATCGCCGATGCCGTTGGGCTTGCCCCCAGCCGTCCCCAGCTGTAGGAGGTGAGCCGATGCCCCCGGGACGGATGTCATAACCGGACGGCGCCGAATCGCCGATGCCGTTGAGATAACTATAGATAGTAATTCGTGTAATGATGTGTTTTGTCACCGACAGTTAACCCCAGGAGATGCCCGTCGGCCCAAACAGCATTAGTTATGTTGGTCCAGGAGCTCCACATGAGGCATAGCCGCATCGCTGAGCGGGCAAAAAGTCACTGGTCAACGCTGCTTACCGGTTTATGCTGTGGCTACTGTCCGCATGGGCTGACGTTTAAGTGGCGTCGTTGTCTTTGCGTTGAAGATGCGACGCTCTGGTTTCGCGCTCGGTGACGTCCCGACTCCGCTAAGCCATATGTAGCACGCACGAACAGGCGGCTGGTGGTTTGTGGCGTCGTTAGATCGAAGCCACCCACATGAATCCAGTTCGGCCGGTTTTCGGCATTGCCCGAGGCGCTCTCGACCGATTGACAGCGATAGCCATTAGCTCTAATTCAACCCCGGATATTTTAATGCAACATGCTCGAGCTTTCAGCAGGCCCGAGCGCCAGCGTATTTGGCTCAGCTTGGTTCTCAACGCCCGTCATAAAGTGAGCAAGGGCGCAAATAAATTATAAGTCGAGGGGTGACGGGCTGCGGCCTTTGCCAACACCGCAGCTTTATGGGCCATTGAGCCGCCTCGAGTGTTTGAGGCGCGTGCACGATCTGACGTCTGCTCAGACAGCATGCATTAAAGAGCACGCCCGCTGAATGGCTGTCTGCAATGCGGGGTCAGGCTGCGTCGGCTGGACGACTGAGTGCCACGTCCTGATGGGTTCGGGTAGGCGCGGCGGCTGACCTCCACGGTCAGCTGTAAGTTCACCAGTGCCAGCTCGACGCCGAGTGGGATGAGGTAGGCACTCCGCTGGGGAGCACCGCAGACACCGAGAACGGCACGCCAGGCCAACTTTGGGGCGGGCTCTAACCGTTGGTGGAAGTGGCATGCAGCTACAAAGTCAGAGACGGGCCGTGTCAAGCATGGGAGCGGCGCGCAGACAGACAGTGACAGCCATCTGTCATCAAGCAGGGCAGCGGCGCGCAGACAGACAGTGACAGCCATCTGTCGTCAAGCACGGCAGCGGCGCGCAGACAGACAGCGACAGCCATCTGTCATCAAGCAGGGCAGCGGCGCGCAGACAGACAGCGACAGTCATCTGTCGTCATGCACGGTAGCGACGCGCAGACAGACAGTGACAGCCATCTGTCATCGCTGGCAAGCCATTGCTCTTCGGCGGGCTGCTCCGTAAGATGCAGTTTGGAGAGCTGCCATCGACGCGGCCCAACGGATCGTGACGGGGCGGGCTGCGTGGCCGGCGCTGCTCACTGTCCTCGCAGAGAACTTCCGTCCCTAGGAGGCTCACTGCTGAGCACTTGAAGCGAGGCGACAGGAATAGAGATCGGACGGTGGCAACGGCGGATAGAAAAGCCGCCCGCAGCATGGCTTCAGCTCCTTGCATTGTCAAAAATAGCAGCCGATTATGACCAACAAACGCTCCACGATTCTTCCTTCCCAGCAACAACAGCCCGGCAACAGCTAGCTGACTCATCCCCGTCCCGGTTGGGGTCGGAAACGAAAAGACATCGTACAGACCAGACATGTTTAGTGTCGTTTCGTGCTGCCGATTCCGACCTCGGCTCAACTTCTGAGGTTAATGCTGACTCTGACTCAGTGCAGCTTTGTGTTTCCTCCGATTCCGCCTCGCATATATGTGACCAAACTTCGTAATCGACTAGACTTAGAACAACTAACAAAACCGAGAAAATTGTATCCTTGTACTGTGCATAGGTCCATACTTAACGTACACTTTAATAAAATGGCAGCGTGGTTATTTGGTGGTCCATTTTCTGTTTATCAAACACGCATGATAACATCATAGGTCGCGACTTAAACGCAGCAGTCAAATAGAGCTCACTCATTGATGATGCAAGCCAAAGCGGTCTATTTAACTCCGGTTCCCACTCACTGACACTCGTCAAAGAAATCCTTTTCCCGTTGACTCAACACAAATTGTGTTGACTCGCATGTCGACTCCGATACCGTCCTGATTTACACACAACCCTGATCACCACCATAACCGCTTTCCTACAAACGCGACACAAATGGCTAAAAGCCAGCTGCTTCTCATGCGCACCGGCGTCCAGACGTGACCAAACCACACTCGAGAGCAGCGCCCGATGCCTCTCCCTCCCTAAGAAGCCTCCGGAGAGCGGAGGGCGGGGGGGGGGGGCAGACCACCGCGGCCGGAGACGGCGCGCGGCCGATAGATGGCGGCGCCTCCTGAACAGCCGTCGCCCGGGAGCGCCCGAAGCCTGCCGGGGTCGGCTCCGACGCCATCCGACTGATGCACGGTGATTGGCTCTGTCTGTAAGTGGTCGTATTTATACGGTAAGGTACAGCCCACGACGGGCGCCGTATACCGACCAAGGCCTGCTATTGAACGACCGGTGCCTCCGCAGCCGGCGTTGCAGAGCACCGCTCGCTGCCATGTGTGGTATTTGTGGCGTGCGGTGGCATGACTGCGCTTGCGCGTACACGAGTGCGCACCTGTGCCTGTGCCTCGACTCCGATCGGTGAAGAAGAGGGTTGGTGGCTCGCGTTGCATTGTGCTCTGCTCAGAACACTTGGTGAGAAAAGGACATGCTTCCGACCCTCCTGCCAGGGTGAGAGGCAGGCGACGTCATATGGCCTCAGCAGCTGAGTGCGTTGTAAGGCCTCAATAGCACACACTTGACAGGAATATGATAGACTTAGACTTAGACTTAGATAGATTTGATATGCCTGTGATAGTTTAATCTAAAAAGTGTTTTTGAAGTGGTTTGAGGTCGCCTCCAAAAATCGTTTTTCTTGGTTAAATATGCAACAAGTTGTGACGCCCGCTTCGGATTCACCTGACATTTTCTCCAAAAGTTTCTCTACGTTATGATAAGCTCGCTCCTTCGTCCTTGACGCGACTGCAGTTGGTGGCTAGTGCTATAAGTATATTCTTTCAAGCTAATAGATACATGTTAGCCAGTTAAAGACGAAAACGTACCGCAGGATTAGGTGCAGCGGTGGCAACGTTGACGATGGTCACAATTTGCCGGCATTTAAAAAACTACTTTATGTAGTCATGCATTTTAGCGTGTTCTGGGAAAATAAACCTGGAACTTTTCTATAAGCACAATTATTTTTTAATGGCGTGTCTACTTTGTGGCACTGTATTACAGCAGTTTTCGATCACAATATCAGCTTACACTAAATGCGCCGTGCAGCTGCCTGTAAACTGAAGGGGTGAAGTGAGAGTGCTACAATGTACTAACTAATTCATTGTTGTTTACTGAACTACAAACACAAGGGAAGAAGTTCGATACGGTTGTTATACCGAGTTTAATAAGACTCGCACTACCAATTTAGGTACGTCGAAAGTTGCGGCACGCTGCATTGAATCATTTCATGCATTTGCCCTTTTCAGGTGCGTTTCTTTGAGCTGTAATACATTTCCGAAAACACCGCCGGTTTCCTCGTTGAAGAGGGGCCCGGCTCGTCATGAAGTGCAAGAATAAGTCACACGCCCGAATATGCCCATCTCAGTATTCTTACACCGCGGTGGTAATAGCCAGCCTCGCCACTTTTCAGCAGTCATTAAACTAAAATCAGTCTCAGATGGCCCGAGTAATTAGTG